GGGGGGGGGGAGAGAGCAGGGTGAAAGGACAGTAAAACAATCCTGAAACACAGACTTTATCTGCTCCCACTATGTTTGACAGGTTTCTTAAACAGAGACCCAGGGGATTCAAGATTGCAGAGGCCACTGGCAAAGGGCAGTTGTTGTCAGAAATCATTCAGCAAGAGTTTATCTTTATCCAACTGACTGCCACACTGTAGCGTTGTGCAGCTAGTCGCTAAGTGTTCAGGGTGTAGGGTATAGATGTCTATGTCTGAGAAAATGCACACTGGCAGGGTTTCAAAAGCAACAAAGAGGATTTAGAATTCCCACCAACATGTTCTCCCACCTCCTGAGGCCATCTAACTCACAAACTGGGTCAAGGTTTATCCTGGTTCATGTGCAACCTCTTAGGGTCCACAGAAATCATGCTGAATGACTTTACAGAGACACAAAGGAAGGCTTTCAGATTCAAGGTGTAACTTCACCAGTATTACATTAATGGTCTTCTGTAAGGTAACGAGACGTAAGGAAAGCAGGGAATAAATGGGCATTTTGGGATTAATGCATAATTTGCATTCAGTTGTGGGCCTGCTTTAGCTGACATTCTGACACTATGAGCGTAACATGTAATTCAGAAAGAAACTGTTCCCAGAACCCCAGAAACATATAATTAACTACGAGTATCAGATGGAAAACAAAATACTTAAAAGTATTGGTAGACTCTTGACAAAAGTGATGGGAATATCACAAATATGAACATACTGCCAGCAGCTAGTTAGCATAACTTCGCACAATAACTGGAAATAAAAAGCTAGGCAGCCATGTCAAGACTTTAAAAATAATCTACCAGAAAAACCTCTAAAGGTCATTTGTTAATCCCTATAAAAACTGATATAACAAATGACACAGGGGCTTATAAGTAGGACTGTTTGTTGGCCACCAAAGAAGACCTCCTAGAGTTGTATCTGCACCGTGAGGTTGTAGAAAAAAGCGGAGAATCCATTGTCACCATATTTGCTCCAAAAAGACTAAGCTAGTGTAAAAGCCTATAGAGGTGAACACCTTCCTGTTGCTTGCTCTTATTGTAAGTTACTTTGTGTTTGGCTTGGTACATCCCTTGCCTGAAAAACTGGAATGAAGAGAACCTGGTCACACAGCATCAACCTGATCCCAAAAGGTACGGAGCAAGTGTGCCTGGAAGTAGTTCTGAGGGCTGGTTGTTTGACCCTTGGTACTGACAGGATGGCATACCCCAGCTGTGAGCTTTCGACTGAGTAACTATGAGCACGATGATTCCTGGTTCCTACAGTGCCAAGTTCTTTTCAGCAACAAGTGTAACTAAAGGCTGCTTAAGGGACATAAAAGCCTTTGGAGGAAAGAACATAGCAGGATAATGTTTTGCAAAATAGAAACATTTAAATTACATAACTCCATAAAACTATTCGGGAAAAAAATTAACTTATACATGTTCATATGGTTGGTTGCAGGATCTCCCTGTTATATGATTATTCAGTGGTGCAATCCCTTCGGCAGTGATTATTGAGGGGGAAAGCTAAATACAAGTCAAATGTTTGGCTTCACCTCCATACACAGGCCACAGCCAAGGCAGCATATGTCTCCAGGGCATTGATTAGCAGACTGCATTAACATCACATCACAGCAAACCTTCCATACAATCATCCTGCTCTGCAGAGCTAAATAGAGGCAAGTCAAAACAGGAGTCTAGTAATGAACCTGTTGACTTGTGAGACACGAGCAGATAAAACATTCAGTGGCATTTACAGTTATAGTTTAGGTCCTCCTTGTGCTTACTGTGCACTCCACCCCTCTTCATATTACTTCCCAGTAGTGTGAGCATCTAATATCAGTAACACTTGCTTATGTTTTTACTGTTTAGTGCCTTTTTTCACACATCTAAATACATCAAGAAAATAAATACGCTATATATATATATATACTGTATATATATATATCTGCCAAGCTCATTAAGTTATATTTATAGCCTTGGTTTTAAAATAAGTTTGAAGTGTAAGACAAGCAGTGTGAGTTGATTAGATGTAAGCAGCAGAATGAGCGCAGTGTTATCACAAATGGCTGCTTTGTGCACCATGAAAAATGATCTTTTTCTTCCACAGTCTCAGGGGGGGAGGCCAGTGACCTTCACAATTTTCCCCAAAACAGCAGCCACTACACGGAGGGGCAGCCATGGGGGGGCTATGAAGGGAGACGCCGGTCCTTGTAAGCACAGGGGGTCTGAGTCTACCTGAACAGACCACAAGGAAAACCTTCATGAGCAACCCTCCCCTCTCTTATTTACACTTATAAACACATACACACATACATGCATCCATACTCACTCACCCACCCACCCATAAACACATAAACAAACACACACACACACACACACACACACACACACACACACACACACACACACATTACAGTACTTGTTGTAATATGTTACTGTAATTCTAGAGCAGTTAATTAAAGAAAAATGTATGACATAATACATAGGCTCTTGCCAAGTTTCATTAATTCAATCGTGAGTATGTACATGTATATTCTCAGTTTACACCAAAGTACATGCAAAGCTGTTTCAACTTTCCCACACTGTTTGTTCAGCCCCAAAAAACCTTTCCCTGCTGGAAAGAGTGGTGGTACACTGATCTTTACTGTAACCATATTACATTTCAAAAGCATGTAGCCTTTCACCTTCAATGCTCGAGTGTGGTGGACCTTTTTGATCTCATCTCAAAACAAAACTCCACAAATCTACCATCAACAGTATAACATACTCTAACTCCTGTAAGGAGACACAGCTGGCCCGGAAACTGTTCAACACGTAGTAAAAGTGTTTACAGATACTACTTGATAGAGTGGAAGTCATCATCATAATTACACCGCTTAACAATAGAGCTACAACAATTAGCCAACTAATCCATTTGTCGATTAACAAAAAGAATATTCAACTACAATAATAATAATTTAATCGTTCCCAAAAACAACAAAAAGTGCGGTTTTCAGCCTCTCAAAATATGGAGATTTCCCGCTTTTCTCTGTGTTTTATTAATAAAAAAAAGTGAATATCTTTGGGTTTTGGACTTGGACTTTAAGGAACTGGAATGGACATGTTTCACAATTTTGTGACATTTTAAATCATCAATCAATCAATCCAGAAAATTATCAGCAGGAAATTCATTAGACTAATAATATCTTTAGTTGTATATTAATGTTCAAATCAAAATAAGTAGACAGAAAGATAATATATTTGAGATGTACTAACTTAGATGATATCACCTGTGCATCATTTTACAACATCTTAGTTTTTTTCATTTATCCATTACATAACAAACATTCTTGTAGAATAGCATGGGTGCAACACATGCTAAAAATCATGTGTCTGTGAGACTGGCCTGTTTGAATCGTGGCTGGTCACGGTCCATCTGGCTCGAGGAGAGCTGCTCCCTCAGGGCCCTGCTCTCCTCCAGCCCGCTGACCTCAGAGCTCTCACCTGGGTCCAGAAAACAGATCATGCATAAAGAAGTGTCAATCTTACTACATAGTCTTTTTGCCAGCTCATAGGGTCCTATTGTGAAATGTACAGTTGGGACTGCAGTACATAGAGACTGCCAGATGCTAATTTTCATATGTTGGGGAATTTGAACATTAGCATGAATTGTGTTAATTAGCAATACTAACCATTATAGCTTATGTTGACAAGAGTTTAAAAATGGCTTGGCAGATTTGGAAATTTGTTGAGTGGTTTTGGAGGTTTTTGGGATGCTGAATCCATTTCTGACATTTCCAGGATCGATAATGGCAGTTTTTAACAGAAAATGACCCGGTGGTCACTTTCTGGTTCTGCCATTTTTTATCCTTTACTATACATTTCTAAGATAAAACTCTCGGTTGCTCAACATGCTGGCAACTACACTAACATGGTGAATGATGACAAAATCTAGTAAGGGAAGATTCATCGTTTGTATTTAATGTGTTCAGTTTGAATTTAAGCTCTCTTCCTTACCGGCTGGCTGCTCTGCAAGGTTGCGGGTAATGATCTGGCGGATGCAGGTGGAGACAGGCGTAGCAGTGACACCAGACTCCTGTCCATCAGCTCCAAGTGTCAGACTACTCTGTCCTGAACATCCATCAGAGTGAAGCAGAGACTCTTCCAACTTCTACAAAGCGTCACCAACACATCGCACAACTGAACTTTTTACTGCTGCATTATGCTTCCGCTCCAATAGTTCATTTTAAATTATTAGTTTCTTTAATTTGCAAATTCAGATAAATAATACAAAATGTCATTAAAAGAACCTAATAATGCATTTTATTATGTATGAAACTATCTATTAATTGGGAATGTAAAACTTTTACTTGTTACAAAGTATTTCTATACTATTTTATTCCTATTTTTCTAGAGTAAAAATGCTGAGTTTTTTTAGCAGTAGATATTTTGACTAGTAATAGCAGATGTTAATGATAATGGCTCTGATCTATAGGCTAAACCACTACAGTGTGAAAGTGAGAAAGCAACAAAGTATACACTGAAACTTAAGCATCTTGCATTAAAGCAATTCCATGAATTAGCTGCTACTTTGTGAAATACCATGAGAGAAAGACAAGACCAGTTCATTTGTTACACATTATTTCCAAAAAGGCACTACCTTTTTAATAACAAAAATGACAGTAAGCCGAAAACACTATATGAGAATAGTAGCTAGCATAAATGCAATTCAGCCATCTTTAATTGCATTTATTAGCCAAACATTTGTGATAATAGCCTGATAAAACATGTAAGACGTACAAACAGACACGAGCTGCTAATGCTTCACATTATTAGACCGTTGTATTGCTATCTTTTTAATTCAAAATTGTTTTAAAAATGGTACAGTTTGGACTTGGTATGCCGTAGCCTACCTGTATTACTTATAACAACCGGCGCTGTGGCAAAGAGCCAGCATTAACATTGAGATTAGCAGTTTAGCATACATGAAATTCAGCCATCTTTTAATTGCATTAATTAGCAACACCTTTGCTCAAATAGACTGATAAAACATGGAAGTAGGTATTAGTGGATACGAGGGGGGCACTGATGCATTTTTAAGTCTCTTTATCTTGTAACTTCTAGACTGTTTTCAAAGGCCTTTTTCACAGCAGATACTTTAACTTGACCTGACTCTGGATAATGACAGACACTGTACCTGTAGTATATGTTTATAATAACCACCATGACAGTGAGCCAACATTAACACATTTATATATATATATATATATATATATATATATATAAACTAGCAGCTAGCATAAATTGAACGCAGCTATTACATTTTCAAAACGTTTGCACACTACGTCGACCTATGGTTAAAACACGAAAGGCGTAACAGTAATGTTACCAACCTGAATCACAGCCTCCAGTCCAGAGTGTGCACCCTGCTCACGTTCAGAAGTCATTGCTAAACTGGCACAGCTTCAATTAAAGAATGTTAGCTAACAGGCTAAAGTGAATGGCTTCATTTGACGAGACAGAAACCTTGCTGTAACGTTGCTTTAACTGAGGCTGGAGAGAGAGTAAGTCAAATTGTGAATAAATAACAAAAAGCACCAACCTAGCATCTCGTTTAAGTAAAGTAATAAGAAATAAAGAAACAACTTGTACCTGTACAAAAAGGTAACGTTAGAGAGTAATAAAGAAATCACTGTCAACACTTTTTTAAAGCCAAGATACTTTAGGAGTGACTGCTGATCGATGTTGCCATGGTTACCAGGCGCTTACGGGCAGTTGCCATAGAAATAGAATGCTGGCTTGGGTGTTTCCATGGCAGCACAGACGCCAGGAGCCAAGCTGCTGGATTCCGATGGGTTAATGTTCAGAAAGGCACTAGTATATATATGCAAATATTACAGAAAATGATTTACAGCTGGTTGTCGGACAGTTTTATGCAACACATTTTATTGATAATTAGTTGCAAACCCATGATCTACAACAAATAATAATAATACTCACTCTGCAAAGATGTTGTGGTTGAAGAACACCATTCAACAACTCAAAAACATGATAGGCCTACAAAGTATAAATAAACACCTGCTGAGCAGCCAAGCAAGGCCATAAAAACAACCCAGAATACCTGAGGATCATGTAGCACCTATTCTCAGGCACAATGACATCCTGGGATAAACATTCAATTTGCATCGTCATATAGATATGAACAGGTCTGTGTGTCCGTGAACTCCTCAACCTGGGGTTTTTGTCCCATCAGGAGAGGAGGCCATTATGTTGAGTCTATGCTGAAAAGCTCAGTCCACTGGGACGGATCAAGGAAGGTGGTGCAGACTCCACTGTAGAACCAAAGTCTCGGCAGGTAGCTCTCCACCTCCCAGGTGTCGGTTGTTCGGTTGTAAACCTCAACTTCCACCCCATAGTCCCCCTCCATCCCTTTCCAATGGCCTCCAGTGACAAAAAGCCTCCCATCCAGTGTCACCAGGCCGCCATTTTCATGGAGCATGTGGAGAAGCTGGATCTAAAATCACAGGAGAATAAAAACTTATTATTTTCCTTTATCCTGTTCAAATAGCAGTGAATGATACATTGTATTACTTTGTCAGCTGTGATATCGGAGCCTACCTTCTGCCACATGTTCGCCTCTGGATCATAAGAGTAGACTTTCTTAGTGTTGTCAGCAACCAGATAAATAGTTCCATCCATACAGACAGAGCGAGGAGAGGACAAATACTTAGGGATGAAGGGCGAACATATGGTGGTCCAGCTATCTGAATAAAACAAACAAAAAACAACATGTTTCAGTCAATTGTTTTACAATGAGTAAACACAATAAGTAATGTCAGTTATGTAACTGCATAGGGTGCTGGTTCCCTCTTTAAATCAAGGTTTTCATGAAATTGTGGTTGTTTAAATGCCTGAAATAAGTTTGGTGGTTTACACAAGCTTAACAAATGTAGTTAAAACAAATGTATGTATTGTTATATGTCATATAATACGGCAATAAATACACACCTCATAATTTGTATGTCTTCAACAGCAATAAGACATGGCAAAATAACACTACAGAGAAAACTCATCCACTCAGCAGTGCTGACATTTAAGTGTACTTACCTATGGCAATTTTATTTACATACAAAAATATCATAAACCTGTGGTTTATTTGTTACGGTTATCTTGAGCTATATTTAAAAATGAAATGGATGCATTCCATTTGCCTATCTCTATCACCCCAGTTGCTGTAAAAACTATTATAACTGCTTATTCATTAATGCTTGATCAATAATTATGTAACTAAATATTTAAAAGAGATGGGGAAAGACACACTTATGTTGACAGAAATGTGTACAATATTTATCAATGTATTTCACTGATATACATTTATTATGAAGCATAAATATATAGTTAAAACACTATAATTAGCAAGTTAAAATGCTATCTGAAACGATTGGAAATGGAGCTACACCAACAGGATTGCTTAAATGACTGAAATATTGCAAATGCATTTTTAAAATTGTTGTTGTTTATTGTTGCAAATGTGTTACAAATAAAGACTTTGGTGAAAATCTGTTTGATCGTCCTTACCTATAACAGGGTTGTAACACTGCATGGCCAAAGCGTTATATTTCATAGCACAGGAGCCAATCACGTAGAGCTTCCCATGACACGCCGTGGCAGTGAAGTTAGTCACATATTTCAGGGCGGGGCAGGTCAATGCCCAGGTGTCGTTGTAAGGGTCGTAATGCTCAACCTCAACCCTATTTGAAGTTGTACCTGAAGGAGGGGAATGAAAGTAGAATGAGTAAAGAAGGTAATTCATGCTGTAAACACCCAAACACATATCTAAAATGCTGCTGTCTTCTAGTCGAATTCATACAAACGGTTATCGCACAGCTAAGCCATTGAAGGCATATATGATACTTGAGTTAATCAATGTTTTCCATTGTATTGCAGGGTTACATGCAGATCTGAATTTATTTTCCTACCTCCAATGACGTAAATCTCCCCGTTGAGTGTTGCAGAAGTGTGGTTAGTCCGAGGCCGGAGCATGGGAGCCACAGTAACCCACCTCCCCTCTTTTGTGATGAACTTCCAGGTCTCTGTGGTCGACCAGGTGTTGGTATTCGAACCACGCGAGCCCCCTGTCAAACAGACAATAACCCTTTGTCAAAGGTTTAACGAGGTTTTACGTTCCTCGACAGAGGAGTGCGTTGTGCCTAAATGTAGAATCATTACTTCTCCTTTTCCTTCTTAAGATTCTATGTTGCATTTGCCTACCTGTGACGTACACATTATTGTTTAAGGAGACCATGGCGTAACCCCACTTGTTAGGATTAGGAAAATGAGGGAGCTCATGCCACTGCTCTGCAGATAAAAATAAAAGTGAGTTCATTTATGAGCATCATTCAAGTAAGGTAAAAGTTTCACAAATACAGCATGCAAATGAGCTATGCACAATAAAAACGTGATTTGATGAACTGAGAAGATCCAATTTTGTCACATTCAGACCAAATTCCTGCAGAGCTGTTTTTCTGTCACTACATTTAACAACCTACAGTATGATGCATCTGCCAAACTGTTTCAAGGATTACAAAATACATTTCACAACACAAATATAGTTGTGAAATGTAATCTGAACTTGAACATTTTTTATACATGCAAAAACAAAAATGTAAGTACTTGTCTTTGTGTTGTAGAAAGCAAAATTCCTGGGCAGTAATCTTTGCAGTCTCGGGTCTCTTTCCTCATCATCTGAGTCCTCCTCATCATCCGAGTCATCCAGAGAACGACCTCCCATCACCAGCAGCACCTCTTGCAGGTTTGGTTGTGGACTCCTAGAACTGAGACTGTCTGTGTGTTCTGGTGCCAAATCCATTTTCTATAAAAGTTAAAGTCATAATTGTTAATGGGAAATCTACTCAGAATTACCAGATAAAAGGGAGAAAGTGTGAACTCACTAACCTCTCTTTGGACTTTTTCCACAGCCTCTCTGCAGCTGGGGGAGCCCTGCACCAGACTGTCCTTCAGCAGGGTGTCTGTCAGGTAGTCCAGGCTGAGCAGCGGGAGACGGGACAGAGTGAGGAGTTCAGGGAGGTCGGAGAGCCGGGACTCCTTGTGGTGCCTGGCCCATTTCAGAATGGCCTCCACACGGGTGCACTCTGTCCGGATTTGTAGTCCTTCGTCGGACAGGCAGGCAACCAACCTCTCCTTTGCCAACAGGAGAAACTCCTCACATTGTTGCACAGCTTCAAAGTTCTCCAAGAGAAAGGCCCACGCTTTGGCCATCACCTCGGGGCAGCCATGGATATCTCCAAACTCCAGGATTCCCAGACAGTTGGTGGCATCAATCTGATGCTGAAGGTACCGGCTGCACACGCCTCTCACCGTCTGGAACTGCAGTTGGCTGGAGTTGCAGATCAGCCCCTCCACGTTGCTCTGGTTGATGGTCAGTTTGCCTGTGTATGCAAAGTCCAGCAAGCAGCTGAGTATATCAGGATCGACATCATGAAGTTCGACACGCGCAGCTATGCTCTCCACAAAGTCCCCTGAGAACATGCTGTGGAAGTACGTGCTGCAGAGCGCCAACACGCCACGGTGACAGGGGAAGTCCCGACCTCCTGCGCTCAGTGTTACATCCACCAGTTTGGGGTCAGAGCAGAAGGAGCGCAAGCCCTCCAGAATGCTCTGTGGATGGGAGGGCAGGCAGAAGTCCAGGTCATCCACATTGCGCACCATGGTCAACTGCGGTTCAAAATGTGGGTCAAATCAGCTTAAAGTAGGGACGATATAAGACTGAGCTTACCTGCAAGTGTAGGAAAAACACATAAATATGCAAAAAATAAATCCTATCCATTTGAACAAATGTTAAGCAACAACGTAGCCATGATCTACAACATATCTTTTAAATGATGCAGACCTGACAATAAGATTGAGTAACTGCTTCACACAGATAAACTGCAACTACAACAGAGCGTTATTAGTTTTAAAAGTGGTGTATGATAAAAAAGATTTTTTCTTTTGACAATTAAACATTGGGATAGATAAAAATAGAAAAAATTGAATTGAAGACAAATTGTTAAAACATAAGTTTATAATTAAAATCTGTTTCTCTACGACCTTTCTGATTTGAGGGAAAACTAACTAAAAGGCCTTTTGTAAAATAGTGCCTTGTTTTCTTAGGTGTGGAGTCGTTGTGTTGTAAGGACTACTAAGTACCTTTGGCTCATGATATGAAATACTGTAATACTATACTCTAATCACATCAAAAGCCAACAATACATTACATTTCCTGTAAAAATGAAATAACAACAAACTCACCACAGGAGTAGAGAATGGAAATAATGGCTCATCCTTTTCCAGTAAATAAAAGCTGTTTGTAGCTAAGCGGATGGTCGGATCAACATGGAGTGGGCAGCATGGTGAAAAACATTAGCCAAGTCATTGGGACGGGCTGCCTGTCTATCGGCTATTTTTAGAACCGAGAGTGAGGCTGTGCTAAAGTCAGATTCCAAACAACAAGCATGGGGGCCGCAGCTGCTGTTACAGGCACATGCCATTCCCCCCAGCAGAGAGGACACATGACGTAGCCCCAGCAGCTACTTTATGTATCATTCAACAACTATTTCATAACACCGCATACAAGAAGGGATTATTTCCATTTCAAATGTCAGTAGTCAGTGTATGGTAAATACAAAAATCTTTGGTGGTAGCATGTTAACCTGGTCCTATAAGCCTCAGACAGCAAAGAGCGGGACACAGCCTGTCAAAATGGGACAATCGTTTACATTTTTGAGGGGGGATCCCAGTGTCCCCTCCTCATTTGGACTGATCCTCGTTTTTGTTTGTCCTCGGTCATTATCATCGTAATTTCATTGCAAAGTTTGCTATGTATCTATTGAAAAACATTGAGTATCTGAATGTACATGTTAACATTTAACTATTTTAGCACTCTATTGACTGACAGATAAAGTAAACAGCTTTCTGTGACTCAGTGTTCCAGCCCAGCTTGGTCCTGGTTTGATTCAGTGCCGGGGGGACATGCTTACACACAGAGGAGGCAGGTGTCAGCCTGATATCATAAAGTGGCTAGAAGGTCTTCCACAATCATCAGATTTATTTCTCTTTTTTTACAGTTTTATTGTTAAAATAACTGCAAAACAATTATCGGCCAGTTTTTTGTCACAAAACTTTTGCACCCAAAAAATCCATGGGTGGCGTGTGAGACATTGGGCCCCTGGACACAGATATAAGATTTTAAAGCCTCTTTTTGTTGCTGTTTTGTGACTCTTTTTTGCCCTTACTTATCGTTGTAAGTCTCTTATGTCTATCCGCTGCTGTTTTATCTTTATCTTTTAAGTTGTTTTATGTTTATTTTGGGGTCTTTTTGTGTCTTCCTGCTTGGTATTTGTCTCTTTGAGTGACATTTTGTATTGCCCCTTTTCCACCAAACCGGATCCGGTTCAAGAACCGTTCTTTTGATCTTCTGGTGCTGAACTGGTTATACTCTGTAGCACCACTTGTGTTTCCACCGCTCAGAGCTTGAGTGGAGCTGCGTCATTGTATCATGTTTACGTGCCTTCTTATTACACCCAAACGGCACGAAAATCCCTCATATCGACAACAACAACAATGATCCCGGTAGTCACAGAGTTTCTTTAGCTTGTTGCTTATTTGCTCCAGAGTCCGGTGGTATGCAGCGGGGCCAACTCCCGCTGCAGCTGCTAGAAAATAGCTTTTGACCGCGTTGTGCCGTCCAACTTCCTCTGCACCTCTTGCGTTGACCAAAGCCCGAGGAGGTCATTTGTCTCTTCCGCGGTCCATGCTGCTTACATTTAATGGCATCCATCCTGGTTCGTAGTTGTGTGTGTTGCTGTAGAGAATTTGCGGCATTTTGTTGTTGCTGATCAGGTTAATTCCGCCCCCCGCTTCCAGCGTAAGCGTGAAGTATTGGTTCTTGCCGGGCAGCTGAGAACCGGTTTTCTGTACTTAGAGCCGGCCCAGCTGCGGGGGAAACAGGAAGAACCAGAGCTAGATCAGGCTCTATGCCGGACCTGGCTCTGGAACCGGTTTGGTGGAAAAGGAGCATAAGTGAGGGTCAAGGGCATCCCTGATTTGTTTTGCCCAGTAGGCCCGTTCAGTAATCCATCCATGTAAATAAGGTAAGAAATGAAAAGAAGACATAATGTTAGTGAAATAAGTCTTTACAGTAAGTTAATAATGAATAATCAAGGTCAATGTAAGAATACTTTTGTAATAATGAACTGGGCCATCTATGCCAAATCGAAGTTTCATGTTGACTCGAAGGAACACACACTCTACTCTGGCTTTTATAATAGGGCTGGGTATGGTTAATCACCAATTTGTTAGCAATTCCAAAATATCTAACAGATATCCTTCATTACAATTTATAAACAAACAAATATTTTATAAATCCAACAACCAAATTCCAAACCTCTAAAATGCATAATGGTTGGAGTTGAATGGTTTTAACAAAATAAAACACAGTATAAAATCTACAAAATTAGAACTAAAATCAGGTAAGATCTGAGTAAACTTGGCAAGGACCTGGCTAAGCACTCTATGCTAACTGTCTAGACTTGATAGTTGACTATTGCAACGGCAACCAAAATGAAATTCAAGCAATATGTTTTAAGTTTGATACCCAGCCCTAATGTAATGTAACTACAAACAATAGAAAAATATCAAAAAGATGACACTACTCAAAATCAAAAATCTCTGCCTCTTTCTCTTTCCAAAAAGCAAAACTGCGGTCGATGTATTTACAGATTTCTTCGTTGCTAAAACTGGAAATGTCAGTTCCGCTGTTCAGCATCCCCTCGTCCGGTGTAGGTGTCTGCACAATGACCTTAGGGACCTGTCTAACCTCTGGGAGGATATGTTTCACCACTTCTACAGCGCTTTCAGGCTGACTCGCGGTGTTTCCAAAAAACTTCACTTTCATGTCCTCAAAGCCGTCCTTCCACTCGCGGTTCCCAGCCTCGATGTCCTGAATGACAGCCTTGTGGAAGTCCCTGACCAGTTCCCAGGGAAAGCTCCCCACGTGGTCGAACACCTCGAAACACAGCAGGTGTCTAATTTTGCGTTCGTCTACAGGAAGCTCCAACTCCAGGATGTGGAAGTATCCCAGCATGAAGAGGTCCAGAGTCAGGTTGTCGTACTCCACCGGCACACCGTCCAAACGAGGGAGGAACTGCTCGGGGGAGTATAGAGCCTGCTGCCTGTGGAGCCTGAACACAAAACTCAATGGTTATTCGGTTTGTGTTGGCACTCGGCTGAAAGTAAAGATGGTACGCTGAACCGTTATTAACTTCAATGATCATCCAACTTTCAAACTTGTTTTTTTTATTTCTTTCAGTCTTCTAATGAATTAATCAAATTATTGTTATTTTGAAAAGAAATTGAAAAACCTTTTTTTGTTCAGTGAATATATTTAAGTCTTGATTAAAGCAAACAAATTATCCACTGGGGAGTAGTGTAAGAACTAAAAACAAACTGATTAGCTTGCAAAGTTGATTTGGCAAACAAGTAAGCAAACAATTCCCTATTAACACATTTAACAGACATTATGCGACAATATAAATTATATTTGAATGTGTTTTTGTGTCCATATAATCATTTTAGCTGCGTTTTCTTTGCTTAGCATGTAGCATATATGGATTGTGAATTACAGCTTGTATGTACAAAAGTTACTGTCTGCTGTTGAAAAAGAGTTGATGAGAGCTGTGAGAAGAAAATAGTACATTTGCTGGCTATAAAACCTCCAACCAACAAACCATAGCGCTGTGGGTATTTGAGAGTCAAATTGACTTGTATGTGGACATAGTTGAAGAGACAAGGTTGAGCATCAATTACCAAGAGGTTAAATGTTAAACAAACATATTATGCCACCAAGTGTGAGAAATACTCTATTAGTATGGGGCAATTGTACGGAAATACCTGCGTATTTGTCTGGACGGGACACTGGAGATCATGCTCCTCCAGTTCCCCAGCATCTTGTTGACGGCGCTCCTCTGCTTGAAGAAGTGTCCCAGAGAGCTGTTCATCATGTTGGACGGGGCGCTCTCCACGCTGGTCCTGCAACCCAGCCCTGGTTGGTCGCCCGTCCCTGGGTTCCCTCCACTTGCCTTCCTCTCTGCTGTGTCCTTACTCTTCAGGGTCACAGTGTAGGCCGACTTCTTCCAGTGGCCTAAGAACAGCACCACTATACGCTCCTTTCTGAGGCTGGTGGTCTCTAGAACATCTGCAACATTTTCATCATAGTCAATGCCGGAGTCGCTGTTCTGGTCCGTCTCTGGGGCCGGACACAGGACTTTAGGATTATTGTCTGACTCTGTGGCCTCAGGCTGTTTGGGGGAACACAATACAACAGCCTCCTCTGGCTCATCTGAAGGTGAGTTCTCTGTCTCAAAATTATACTTCAGAGTCCTCACAGACACACCAAACTGATGTATTTCATTCTCTATCCTCTCCCTGCGGCCCCTGGTGGAGTTCTGTCTGTCTGGCGTCTGAGAGAAGACGGATATGAGCTCGGTGTTGGGCATCTTACAGTAGGGCTGGTCTGTCAGGTTGGTCATGAGCAGAGACATGCTTTTCACGATGCCCGAGATGCGGCCACACCACACTGGTAGAGGAACTTGACTTGAGAAGTTTCTGAACTGTGTGTTGACTGTGATGTTCACTATGGGGGCGGGCAGAATGTGCCGGAGCTCCTCAGCTAGACGAGCGAGCTCAATCTCGTAGCCTTCACAGTTCCTCTGCAGGGAGACGTTGGCGATCTGCTGCTCCACATAGATGAGGTCATCCTCAGTCAGCAGCTCACCGGAGGGCCCCAGGATGGCGTTGTGGGCTTGGGAGTACCTCCAGTTGACTTTGGCATATCTGCCATTTTCCTGCAAGAGAAGAGGCCGGCAGCAGGCAGCAAATAAACATGCGGGATGTCATTTTTATATTCCACATGGCTTAAGCGTGAGAGGAAAATGCAACAGTAAAACTGCGATCCAAACCTCAGGAACACAATTTGACCAGCAATATGTTACGTGTTCAGTGATTTGTTAGGTGCAATTAAAAGTAAATGATGATGGAATTTCCAAGGTTTTTTTTAAAATTGTCAGGAATGCCGATTTAGAATAGCATCACAAATTCAGCTAACTGTGGTCAGGCTCAATGAGCATTTGTTTAGAAGGGTCTGTGCAGAATTATACAGATTTTACTAATTTAAAAATGAATAAAAGAGTTTCAGTTTGATTCTCCCAAATGATGACCTATTGAATAACTCTTTTAGGTGATTTTATCAAAACAAAATCAAATTACACAAAATCTATCCACATAAAAATAAGTCAGGGATAATAAAAACAGAACGATGTTGATCACTGTTTCACATTATCCCGCTTATTACCGGTCACATACTAAATTAAAAAAGTATCATATTGCTTCCACTAAGATTTTTTTTTTCCATTCCACGACGTACCAACGGCTTTCTTCAAACAGCAGCACTGATCGAGGATTTCTGTATCTGTCCAAGTTCACAGATCTGTTCCACTAACACTTGAACAATGCCAGAGCCCACAAAGTGTTCCTGTTAGTGTTTACTTTGATCCTCTTTGTAACAGCCATTATTTTGCTTAGCAGTGGTTGTGTAATGTGTTATTGATTATTAAAAACTTCTAAAATAGCCAGATTGACCAATCAGAATTGAGTATTTAACCAAGCCGTGTGATAACTCCTGAATAACACCAGTGGAACATGTCTAAGCTGGCCACGAACCTGTGCGGCTTCTATAATCACAAAAGATGTGTAGTATTAGTACGAGGGGTTTTAAAGTTTTAGACTGTGGACCTTTCCTCAGACAAAGCTTGCACCCTATAGGCACTCAACAATTGAGACAAAATAGCCTAATAACGACTCACATAACTTTAGACTACACTGAAAACATTTCTAACTGTTCCTGCATTAATAGTGTGAGCCTGATTCAGAGAGACCTTACCTTCCTCCTCTGGTCCTCCTCATCCAGCAGCCTGGCCTGCAGCTGCCTCACCATCACCTGCCTCTTCCACTCAGCGATGGGCCGGCCTCTCTCGTCGTGGGTGGGCACCAGGTAGTCGATGTCGGACAGGTTGGCCTGCTCAGTGGGCAGGACCACCATCTTATTCTGAGAAAGATGCAGCATATGAGCTGCTAAAGAAAGGAAGCACTTACAAAAGAAGGATGTTCAACATTAGAAAGTTTACTGCACTCACTGCTTGTCCAGTGAACGTTCCTGATATTCCTGATTGTTTTAAGGATTGAATGGATTTCATGTCCCCAAGAAGCTTCCTTCCAGCTAGGAGGTTTGCGTCAGGCAACATCGTCTTATCAGCAGGGGCAGACTTCTGACTCCCAGCCACCTTGGGCCCATTGAAACCTTTAATAACTGAAATGCAAATCATAATCTGTGTCACATACATCATTTTTCATGTCCAGTACTGACTTTCAGTCTTGGTTGAAAGAATGATTTAATTACAGAAGCCTTAGAATCTAGTTTTCTCCTGTGTTTATGACTTAACAATATTTCATACGTTTATTCCAGACTAAAACTAACTAACCAGACTAAAAACGCTGAATAAGCTCTGATTAAAATACATTTGTAGACAAAAGAAAGACAACATAACTTGCTAATATTCTTTTACTAGGCAAAACTTTTTTTGTAAACACATTTAGAACATTTGTTCTCACCAGATGTTGCAAATTGAACCTGCACCATTCTGTTAATGCTTTTCTCCGGCTTGGCAGGAGGGGATGAAACAGGTGAGGGGGGTGCAGGAGAGGGTTGAGGGTATCTGGCCTGCGGGGATTCCTCACTCTGAGGTTGCTGGTGAGAATTTGAGAGGATACATGGTCACTTTGGGTTCAGGAAATAATGAAGAATTATGGGGAAAAAGGGAACTGAGAGTTTACCTTCAAACTATCCATTGGTGTGTTATTGCTGTAGCTGTCCCTGCATGGGTCACTCAGGCTGCCGTAGTAATCCTCCCTGCTGCGCTGCAGAACCACAGCCGGCTTCACCTTCACCTCCTCGTCCTCCTCCTCCACTGGAGCTCTCTCCTGGGTGGGCTCTGCACAGGCTGTCTGCAATTATAACAGAGTCACACTCAATACAAGAAAAGATAAAGATTAACTTTATTGTATCCCCAAGGAGAAATTCAGGTGTTCAGTTGTGACGCACAGTAAAATACACACACATGCACCAGACACGACCTATACACAGTAGGACTGAATACAAACACATGCATTTTTCTGTTAGGCGAGATGAGCGACCAGGCTGCCAGTTTGTCCGGCGCCAGGGAGCAGTTAGGCGTTCAATGCCTTGCTCAAAGCCACCTCTGCAGGGCCCAGGAGGTGAACGGGCAACTCTCCAGCTACCAATCCACATATCACAATCGGGTAGGTTCACACGTACGAGGAATTTGACTAGGTGTCGTGGTGCATACAAATAAAAAACAAAAATGTAAAAAAGAACGCAGATAGCTAACTATATTAAGAACACTGTAATATAATATAGTAAGATAGCAATAAAATAAAGCAGTAATTTACATTGAAATAGAATGCAATAAAATATACATCGTATTAGGTTGGTCCGATCGGGACTCAAACCGGCAACCCTTCACTTCCCAGGTCAAGTGCCTACAGACTGTGCCCCTGCCACCCCAAGTTAAGACTTTTTAGAAATAATGTATGACTTTTGGTCAAATCATGAGGTTAGGGTTGTATGTACTTTCAACAAAATCAAATACTCATTTATATTTTGTCTTTTCACACCAACTGTGCTGTAACATTCTCCCTGCTCACCTTACATACAATAGTTTGAGATAAATCCAACTGTGGCATGACAACTGTGACGTGAGTCCAATATGTATTAACTGTTGTGATGTTTCCAGAACCAGTGATTAAAATGTCTCTTTCGTTGAAGGGTAGAGCCTGTGTTATACTGTCAGAATCACATTGTTCAGGAGCTGGTTGTCTCTACATAGATCTCCAAACTATCATCAAAACTCTTCCAGACCATAAATGCTTTTCCTATTTGCTTCTATTTAAAAAGAGTTTTGGTTTTGTTTTTCTAGTTTTGCACTTTTGTAAAGAAGGAAATACTTGAGGAAGGTTTTTTTCCTTTTATTTGTTGTCAACACTCTCGCTGAAGTAAAATCACCATGGAAAGTAATATATATTTAAATCTGTCTGTAGACAAATACAGTTGCAAGAAAAAGTATGTGACCACTTTGGAATTACCTGGATTTCTGCATAAGTTGGTCATAAAAGGCACTGCTGTCCAGAAAAAACATTGCTGCACGTTTGAAGTTTGCAAAAGAGCACCTGGATGTTCCACAGCACTACTGGCAAAATATTCTGTGGACAGATGAAACCAAAGTTGAGTTGTTTGGAAGGAACACACAATGCTATGTGTGGAGAAAAAAAGGCACAGCACACCAACATCCAACCTCATCCCAACTGTGAAGTATGGTGGAGGGAGCATCATGGTTTGGGGCTGCTTTGCTGCCTCAGGGCCTGGACAGATTGCCATCATCGACGGAAAAATGAATTCTCAAGTTTATCAAGACATTTTGCTGGAGAACTTAAGGCCATCTGTCCACCAATTGAAGCTCAACAGAAGATGGGTGATGCAACAGGACAACGACCCAAAGCACAGAAGTAAATCAACAACAGAATGGCTTCAACAGAAGAAAATACACCTTCTGGAGTGGCCCAGTCAGAGTCCTGACCTCAACCCAATTGAGATGCTGTGGCATGACCTCAAGAGAGCGATTCACACCAGACATCCCAAGAATAATTGCTGAACTGAAACAGTTTTGTAAAGAGGAATGGTCCAAAATTCCTCCTGACCGTTGTGCAGGTCTGATATGCAACTATAGGAAACGTTTGGTTGGGTTATTGCTGCCAAAGGAGGGTCAACCAGTTATTAAATCCAAGGGTTCACATACTTTTTCCACCCTGCACTGTGAATGTTTACATGGTGTGTTCAATAAAAACATAAAAACATATAATTGTTTGTGTGGTTTTAGCTTAAGCAGACTGTGTTTGTCTATTGTTGTGACTTAGATGAAGATCAGAACACATTTTATGACCAATTTATGCAGAAATCCAGGTAGTTCCAAAGGGTTCACATACTTTTTCTTGCAACTGTACATTAATATATAAAGAAGCTACAGTTTGTGTGAGATATAAAGGCAGATGGGTCAGTGTTATCATTTGCACTATAATTCCTATAGAAAGATGTCTTTGGAATGTTTTGCACTGCTCAATGTGACATACAAGATGCTGGAGGTCTTCTACCAGTCTGTTGCGGCCAGTGCACTCTGCAGTCTGCTGGGGGGGGGGGGCACTCTGCAGTCTGCTGGGGGGGGGGGGGGGCAGCATCAGAGCCGGTGACACCAGCAGGATCAATAAACTGATCAGGAAAGCTGGGTCTGTCATCGGCATCAAGCTGGACCCCTTTGAAGCTGTGGTGGAGAGGACACTGAACAGGCTGTTGTCCATCATGGATAACCCCACCCCCCCTCTCCACCTGCAGCTGGACAGACAGATAACTCCGTTGAGCGTTGCACTGGCACTGCAGTCAGCATGTCGTTGTGACACTTCACCCCAAATTGCTCCTGTGGGGATTGCCCACAGTATTGAGAATGTAAGTCGCTTTGGATAAAAGCGTCTAACAAGTGACATGTAATGTAATGTAGTTTCTCTCTTCACTGTACATTTTACATTTATATATTCAGTTTAATATTTAATATTCCATCTGTCAAATAGTTATGTATATATAATACGTTGCTTTATATCTTGTTATTGTTAATTTGTAAATTCAACATGTATATTTTCTACTTTCTTGTTTATTTCTTGTCTTTTAATTTGTATTGTACAATGCCATGTATTGTTATGCTGCTGTAACACAAACATGTCCCAAATTGGGATCTTATCTTATCTTATTTTGTGTAGGGAGTCAAGTACTCTGTATGATATTAAAGCATGAAAGTAAGTTAGAGTGGCTTTGTTCCATCAAACATTTTGAGAATGCTGATAAAAGAAGAATGCTTTACTGTAAAAAAAAAAAAACTAAATCAAATCACATACTTTGTAAAAGGTCCAGAATGAAATGAGGACAAGCACTATGAAATACATTTGAAAAAAGTGGGGCATAGTAAGCAACCCTGAATAATTGGCAGCATTTCACACCACTCTAGGGAGGATGAATGGAAACATTTAGATCCCCTTTAATGAACCTGCGCTGTCTTAATGCACTCCATGCAGCATGCGTATCAGATTCAGCTCTCCAAGGACATTATTAGTAACCAAAACATTAAAGCAGCCACGCTGCGTGCTGTTGTGCTCGCTGTCCGTGAGGTGGTCCTTGCCATTTCCTCACACTCCACTTTGATCTCCAACGGCACGAAATATGATGGGACACTGCTCAGGAGGAGCATTTCACTTCCCCGAAGTTGTGCAATCCGTAAATAGATAAACAAGGGGGGCTGGGAAACAGGGGGGGGAACGGGACTGATTCCTTTGTGACCCTTCTCGTAACAGTTCAATGTCCTAAAAGCTATGATGAACCGGCCTGTGTGTGTGTTTAATTAGTGGCCGGAGAGCATTTGGTTTTCATCAGTAGCCCATCACAATTGCCACGCAGATATAGATAGCCAACCCTGTTTTGGCCTGAACCCACTCCCCCTGAATCAAAGAGCCCGATCAGCACAGAGTAGGAGCCAAGAGTTAAGAAACAGCTCCTCAGTGCTCTCAGTGTCCGGCTGCAGCACTAATCTGCTCCCAGTGGGTTTAAGTATTTCATGTGTATTTAAAACATGTCTTGTAATTCTGCTTCCACATGAAATATTCACGTTGTGGGTGATAAATTGTATTGTGGAATGTATACAGCGGGTGTACATTATACACAGAAGAACACTGTAGTGTAAATACATGTCCACTCACATGCTAAAATGCTCTCAGGTTTCCTGTGTGGAGGTAATGCTTGAAGCGCTGACACAATGTTTTTGCCAAATGTTACAGCTTTACTGCTACTAAAAAGACAAATGAACATACTTTTCTACTTCATAACGGAACATTATCAGCTACTGAATCCCCAAAAAATAGCAAGAGAAAGTTCTGGATTCAAAAATGGAAAAAAAATAAACAACATAAAGTAAGGCCATGAGCCTGGAGTATTAGTCATGCCTAACCGTAAGAGGCCACAGCTGAAAAAAAGGTCAAACGTTGCCAAAACATGTCAGCTAGGGTCTCTTTAACAGACCGTTTCCTTTCATTTAACAAAGCATATTACTCAGCCTGTCCAGTCACTTGCTTATGATAAAAGTTATCGAAGAAAAATATCATAATAAAGAACAACAAGGATTCAAAATAAGCAAAAGCAGCATAGAGAGTACAACTATAGTGAAAATGGCCCATAAACCATCATGAAACATACTAACCTTGACCTTGAACAGTTCTCGCGCTGTACTCCGGTCAGACTGTGCGCTGAAACTCAGACCTGTGCAGCGAGGACTCGGGCGGTCCCTCCGTGTCGAGGATGTGACACTATCCTAAGAACACCAACCACTCGTTTGACACCATCATCCACATCTCTGCCAGTGGCCAAGGGCCGCCAGGCAATAAACAATAAACTCTGATCGGAGCATGCTGTTAATAATTAAAGGACAGGATAGGATGGCCGGTAATGACACTAATGCACGGACAAACCAATGGCCGACCATGGTTGTTGCACAAGGAAAAGTATCAGCGGAAGACTTGTCAAAGCAGCTGGACATGGGACATGTTATCAGGTGCTTTTTTCCCACTTTGGACAATTGAATGGAGGAGGTTTTTGTGAGGGTGGGGGTAAAATGCAACGAAGATGATTAGTAAACTGTGACAATGGAAACACAATGTGACACCATAAGCTTAGATAGATGGGTTTGGCTAATAAAGTGGAAAAGTTGACAACAACAGACACAGTGTTGGAGAAATTGCTGCCACATGATTAGCAAAATCATCCACTAATTTACCAAATTCCAGACGAATATTACATCTGCCTCACCCAAAAGCATGCTTTACATCATACATGCTGG